GGAGAGCAGGAGAGGGAGAAGCAGGCTCCCCGCTGAGCAGGGAGCCCAATGCGGGACTCGATCCCAGGACCCCAGGATCACGACCTGAGCCGAAGGCAGCTGCTTAACCATCTGAGCCACCCAGGCGCCCCTACCTTTAAGTTTTTAAATGTACTTATAGTAGCTGGTTTGGATCAGTTGTACAACCCAACAAGTAGGCCCACTCAGCACGTCCACTGGTTACCTATTTTTCTGAATTTGGGTTGTGCTTTCCTGTTTTGTTTTGCATGTCTCAAAATTTTTTGTTGAATACTGGATTATTTTGGTTAAAATATTATAGCAATATTGTATCAAGTCTGGTTTTCCTACTGAAAGGTTTTCTTTAAATTGCTGGAAATTAGACTTCAGAGTCTGTTTCCCCTGAGCTGTGTGGTCACTGATATCTCTGGTAAATTTTCCTATCTCATTTTCATGTTTTAGCCCAGTTTCTAAAAAATTACTGTACATATATAAAATAAATATAAATTATAATTTTTTCTTCCTACATCAGTAGCATGGCAAATGGTTCTACCTTGAAAAAGCAATCCTATTGCTCTTCTCAAAGTTCTTCTCTTGCTCCCAATTTCACAGGAGGAAAATTGATTTGAAGAATATAGGCTTTGAGGCTGGGGAGTGGGGAGGAATAGACACAACACTAAATAAAGCTCTTTTCCCCAACAGAGACTGGCAATATTTGGAACTAGGCAGGTCATTTTTTATAGTTTGTTTGTTAGACAGTTTTAGACTGTTACTCTTCGTAGTGTGATAAGATGGTCATAATATAGGTTCTGTTTTGTTGTAAAATATTTGCATAATATTGTCATGAAATCTTTTTATTGTAAGAAACAGAGACTCACTAAAGGCAAAGCAGGAAAAGAATGTATTAGGGGTGACTATAAGAAACAGCTCATGGAATACTAAAAAATGAAGTGTATTCTGGCTTCGTGGAGAGAATAGGAGCCCAGAAAACATCAGGGCCAAGGCAGCCGTTCTCTCTGGCTCACTTGTTCTCTCAATTCCAAATTTTCAGGAGATGAATCTGATTGGCACTGTTATAGGTTATGGCCAATGGTCTGCAATGGACTGGTTACATTTGAATCAGGTCTCCCCTGGCTGATACCATGGCCAGATGCTAGGTCATGAAGCTTGCAGGGCTGCATACTTCAATAGACAAACGTGTCTATTACACTTACCAGGTGTTTGATGCCTTTATGATTTTATAAAGTTGTTACATTCTCATGACTCCACTGTGTTCCAAAAAACAGAGCAACCTGGATACTTCGGATGAAAAAAATGTAGGTAACCCTTATTAATCTGCTTGACAAAGCTGAGTTTCAACTGCTTTTCCCAATACACAGAATTTTAGCTCTGAATATGACAACTTCATCCCAAAGCACATGCAGTCAGTCCTTCTCACACTGGTCCCCCCTCACAGAGGGGCAGAGACAGGTCCTCTTAGAGATAAGATCTAAGGCTTTTCTCTCTTGGGAGGCTACATGGCAGAAACCTCTCCTCTGCTCTGCCACATGTTATCTCACTTCTCTACATTGAACCTCTAGTCCCATCTTTTTGTAAGTACCTCCCAACATTACTGATTCTACGTTTTCTTTGTTGGAAGTCAAATTCTTCCAAGGACTAAAATAAGGATTAATGGATGTTGGCTTTGTGGGAGACACTTTAGTAGTCCAAGGCACTATGGAGGATACAGTCATGACTATGACATGTATCCTATCTTCTAGGAGAGAAGGCTCACACACAAGTAACTACACCATGGGGTAAAGAGTGCCACAATAAAATACTAAGGCAGAAATCACCCTCTCTAGAGGTGTGGGTAAGGTGGGGAAATCTTCAGGAAATGCTTTAGAGGTAACTATTGGGTTGGGCCTCTAAGGGCAGGGGAGTATTTGCATATTCAGAGAATGGTCTGGAGGTGGGACACAGTCAATCCTGAAAGCCTGAGCCGAACTATTATTAAGCTTTAGCAGCCGTTCTCAGGACCAGTTTATTCCACTGTTCTCTTTCCCTCATTTGCCACCTGCCTCTGTTTTAACATTCCTTTTAACGGCAAACAAAAAAAGCAACTATTAATTAGTGTGATTTTTGGAATTCTTATATTTATTGCTCCCACCTTCTCCCTAGGCTTCCAAGAATGAGAAAGGAGGCAGTGTTTATGCTCTCCCCCTTTTCCTTGCTGCCTCTGCCATTATTTTTCAGGAATACTAATCATTATGAGCTAATATGAAAATAACAAACATTCGAGAGTCACAAAGTTTTCATAATCATGAAAGGTTCTGATTGACTTCTTTCTGAGATGGTAACTGAAAAAAATCCCTTTGATTTCTGCAGCTTACTTTTTTTCTTGAAGGTGGTGCTCACCAAACATTCTCAGTCTTTTGAACTTTGCCCTAGATCCCACAGTCAGACTCAGTAGAGCTCCCTCTTCCCACCACTATTTCCCAGCAGTTAGACCCCACCTACCTAGGTGGTTTGGCTAGCAGGTTAAACGCTCCCTCTTCTCAAGTTGTTCATTTGCATTTATATGTAACCTCAGAGTGGGAGACAATGGTTTCTACCCTTCACTGGAGGTCTGGAATTAAGGCATTGCAATTTGCAAGTAAAAGGCCCTTTTGTAAGAGAGAACTTTACTGGCAAAATGAGTTAGGATTTCGAGGAGAAAGTGCACACCCTTCAGAATCTTTTCAGTTGTATTCAAGGGCCAGGATATTGAAGGTTAAAAAAAATAAAAGCCTTAAGAAATTCCCTTCAGACAGTTTTTTGGTGAGAAGAAAAGCCGATAGACGGAGAGGGAGGTGGGCTGGAAGAAGGGCAGTTTCACAAAGGGTCAGATATATGCAAGGTGTAGGGAAAATTTTTTTTGAATGAGAAAATAACATGATCTAAGAGAGACATTATAATCAATAAAGGATACTCCTGGGGAGGTAAGATGGTCCATGTTTAGGAGTAGAAATAGGAGTATGAGTTTAGAACAGAAGAGTGGCACCCCTCCTCAGTCAGGATTGAAGTAAGTGATTCCGTGTAAAAACTGAGACTGGGGTAGGAGTGTTAAAGAGAGAAACCTCATGATGGATCCTCAGTTAAGTATGAGGCAAGATCATTCACAGAACTGGAAGAAGACAAAGTACAGAGGGGGCTTGAGGAGAGCAGAAATAGGGCAGGTTTGGGAGAAGTGCCCTGGATAATGTCCCTGGTTAAATGTCCTGTTTAATCACCCTCTTGATGAGGAAAGGAATTTACAGAATCAGTGAAGACCCAGCCAAGTCCGGATAGCATAGACTTTCACTGGAACAAAGTGATTTCTTAGCCTTATCCAGCAATGCTTGGTAGTACAGGAGCAAGTTCAAAAGAAATCTTTCAACTGTGTATAAGAATTACAAAAAATAATTAATAAGTATAATAATAATGTCAATTAGCAACATTTTAGGGGACTTTACTCACAGATTTTAGTGACATTTTAATCATTACAAACATGGAATACACAATATCATAATACTCATCATGCGTGATCTGAGAAAAATACAAAAAGAAAAGATTATTGGAGTCAAAAAAATTAATTCTTGTTTTCTTTCTATGCTAACCTAAGGCAAGAAAAAAGGAAATATCAATGTAATTCTTTCCATTAGATACATCTTCTATTCATCCAGTATTATTAGATATTTTTAAAACCAAATCATTGTTATCTTCTTAGTACATTAAAAATGAGTCATAAAATTTGCATTTTACTTTTTTTATTCTCCAAAAACAAACACACACACACAAAAGCCAGAAATGAAAAACATGATGAGCAAACTTCCGTGATGGCAAGGCATGAGACAAGCACACATTATGGTCCCTGCTGATTCCTTCCCAATTCTGGAAATATTTAGGGGGAACACTCACATGTTCAACTGTGTTGTTCCACAGTTCAACCCTGCATAGGATTACCAACTAAGTTTAAATTTTACCACAAATTGTAAGAGATGTTTTTCCAATCAAGGTACCATATTAACAAGTCTTATCTATTTTTGTAATTTCCAATTATAGTAAGATAAAAACTAATAGCAAAGCATATTATTCAACTTAAAATTCTGGACAGTAGTTAGACATATGTAGCTTGCACACACATTCATCTGTTTCTCTCAATAAATATTTGTAATTTCCAAAATCCTATCAGCTTTTTCACAAAATATGGTCCCTGCAACTTGAAGGGTGGTAACATAAACATTGTCTTCTCACATCTTACTAACATGGTAAAATCACCAAAAGAAGAAACCTAAGAATATCAGTGACTACATGATAGAGCAATATAATGCTTCAAAGCCTAATATTTTCATGAAGACCCACTTGAATAGCCAGTATCTAAATATGAAAGTTATTTACAAAACAATTGTTATTGACAAACTAGCACAAGGTGACTAAAGGAAAGCAAAGAACTTGTTATTAAAACTCAAGATTTTTCTGTGTACATGTCTCGGTTCATTTCTTTATCAAATTTGAGGTAAACTGGAAAATACCCAGAAAACAACATCTGTCAACTGTAATCTATTCCCTTTACTCTCTGAGATCATCAGAAGGCATGAAGAACTGACTTTGTCACCTGTCTTTCCCCACTCTGTAAACTCTTAGGGGAAAGAGCATGCACCGGCCAAACTCACAGCGCAGAATGTACACACAGGTGGGTCTTTAATAAATATCCTTCAATGGCGAGATTAGAGGTTTGCTTGGAGTAGCAGGGAACACATTCTCTTATGTGATGACGCAATGACATCCGACATAATATACGTCAGCCTGTTTCCTTACCAAAATATCATTCAAAGGAAATATTCTTTGAGTCTCCTTTACGTAGGACTGTAAGTTTTTAGACCCAACATTTTGAGGCAAGATCCGCCCCAGGGAAAGGGGAGTGGCTGGTCGAAAACAAGTAGAATTCAGGTGGATCAGTGACGTCAGGAAACAGCGAATTAAGGGATGGGGTGCAAACTCACCTGGAGTAGCAGAAGCTGCACACATGTCAAAGGGCAAAGGGCAAAGTCTCAGGGGCTCCCAGACGCAGGAAAAGCGAAATGCCCTCTCCTAGGCTCTCATGGATTCGAGGTGAGGTGAGGGACAAACCCTACCATGCACAGCTGGGGTTGACAGGAAGCCAAAGCACAAGCGGCCTCAGGTTTCAGAGCCAGCACTCAGGAATCCCCCTGTACCTCTTCCCTACACCCCCTCCCGTTCCCAAAGCCTGAGACACCTTCAGCCTCACTCCCCACCTTCTTCAGGCCCTCTCGCTCTTAACAGCATCGGTCTCTATGGCGACCTGAAACCGCAGTTCGCATTGGCCGGTTCAATATGAGGGCCGGGCCAATGGGGAGGGCCAGCCTTCTCCTTCCGACCAATGGGGTTGGCGGGGAGCAGGTCCGGAGACGGCGGCGTGCTGACGTTCCCGGGAGCCCGGGGCTGGCTGGGCAGGCGGGCAGGCGGCTGGGCGGGCGGCGGCGGCGGCCTCTGGGCAGTAGAGGGGGCTCCGGGGCTGAGTCCGTGTCGACGCTGGCCGCGGAGGCGGCACCATGGGCACCGGGTAGAGGGGCAAGTTGGCCACCGCCGCCGCCGGGGGTGGTGGGAGAGCCGCTTCGGGGGAGGGGGCGGGTGGGGGAGGGAGGGGCGGGCAGCTGCTTGGCCGCGGCACTTTTTTTAATTTTTTTGGGTGCCGCAGCGGCGACCCCTCGGCGCAGATGTCCCTGATCCCCCGAGTGACGACGGGCGCAGCCTAACCTGGAAAGTAAGTGTGCGAGCTCGCGGGAGGGCGCGAAGACTCCTGCTCCCGAGACCTCCCGCCCTCGCCCCCTCGTGCCCGAGCCCGGACCTGCCCGTAAGGGGCGCGTGGGGGACGGGCGCCTCCCTCCCGTTACTCCGTCCCCACCGCCTCGCGGCCGCCTCGGCTTTCCTGCCCCGCCTCGTGTTCCTGCCCGCACTCGCCTGCCTGCTCCCCTCCCCCCGGCAGGAGCACAAGTTTCACCCTCCATTTGCTTTTCCCGGTTATTACTCTCCCCGGGTCTTCCCTGCACGCCGCGCAGGACCCTCCCCACGTTGGCTTTTTCGGATCCAGAGCCCCCAGCCCCGAACTTCAGCGCCACGCCGAGCCCTCCCGGACGTCTGCCCCGAGGCTCCCCCGCTCCCGTCCGCCTGGCACGCCGCCCCGCGCCCCCAACACCGTGGGGCTCCCGCCGTCCCCAGCCCTCGGGGCGGTCTGTCCGTCCCTCCAGCTCCAGATCCTGCATCCTGGCCCCTTTCCTTCTTCCCACGCCCCTGTTGCATGCGACCGCCTTGCATTTGCCCCCGGACTCCCGCGCTCCTGCGGGTCCTGCCCACCCCCCCTCTGGCCAGTGCGCCCCTCGCTCTTCGCGGCGTATCCTCACGCTCCACCCCTCCCGGTTCCCCAACCCGGAGCTTTCCCGGCTGCCCTCCTGCGCCGCGGCTTCCCCCTCACCCGGCCAGGAGTTGAAGCGGAGCTGCGGCGCCCCCCACCCCAGGAGGTTCTGGTGTCCCTGCCCACCGCTGGTGCTGCCTGGCCCTCTCCCCGTTTCCCCCTACCCGGGAAGCCAGGGGTTGAGCGGCGGGGCCGGGATTTGGTTGCGTGTTGGCTGAGTGCGACAAACAGCGAGCGCGGGCAGTGGAGGCGTCGCGGCGGCGGTGGCCGCTCGGGGCGCAGCAAATAGGCCAGGTGTGTGTGTCCGGGGGGTGGGGGGGGGGAAGCGCGCCGCGGGCTCCTCGGCTGGCGACAGATTGTGCAGGAATGCGAGGAATGCACCAGGGGCATAGTCCACACGGCCCGCCGCGGCTGCACTAGCGCCTTCCCGGCCCAGCTCTCGCCGCGCAGCCAGAGGTCACCGGAGCATCTTCAGAGCTGGTGAGCCTAGCTCTACTCTTCTCCCCTTGCCTCTCTCCATGCGGCAGAAAGGGCGGCGGAGGGGAAGCGCGGCAGTTCTGTTGGGCTTTAGCTAGCCTCTAGCCTTGGTTTTGCTGCATTGGTCTCCAGGACCGTGAATTTGAGGCGGATGGTGGTGTAGCCAAGGTTACTGATCATTGCACAAGGTTCTTGGCAAGTTTCGTTTGCAAGGTTTGAATAGTCCCTGGTTTTTACGAGGGTTTTCTGAAAACCTGCAGGAAAGGTGCCCAAGGTTCTTAGAGTAATGAGCTTGCAGCCAACGCATTTTAGCTCTATCAAAAATGTCTGTTAATGCTCACGGATAGGGATGTATACAGCAAGTGAGAACTTGAATGCATCACTTTGCTGTCATAAGAATTGTAATTTTTTTCTCGTCATGCTGGGTTGTGTTTAGACCTCTTATAATACATAATGAATAGAAACAGAGAAGCAGTGTTTGGTCAGCGATGGGACAGATAGAACTGTCTGGTACAGTTAAATTCGGGGCGTGTCAGTTACCATTGGAAGTAACACGGGGACAACACAATCATGTATATTTCAAGATGCAATTTATTAGAGGTCGCAATTCTTTTTGTTACTGAGTTTGAAAAAAAATAAATACAGCCCTCCAACTTTTAAAGAATGGTAATTATGTATAAATTCAGTAATGATTCATATACATTTTTGGTCAAATTGTATTTTCTTTAATGCAGAAAAGCAAATTTTTGACAGACGGTGCTTTCCTAGAATGGGGCTATTTATTTTAAAAGGGGAAGTAGAAGACTGCTTCTCTTTTTGAATGTAGTATATTGCTATAGAAGTATCTTCTGGTGCCTGTGAAGCAGTTATGGAAATGGTAACATGAAAATGAGAACAATTGATGTCCAAAATAAGGTTTCTGGATGTTGAAAAGCATACTATATGTGCCTTTGTTTGACACGGTTTGTTTTGGATGTTGAGTTTACTATAAACCTCTCCACACTTGGTTATTTTTGTATCAGATTCAGGAAAATAATAAGTTAATTGTCTCAGCTGTCTTCCAATACCTACTTTGTGTGGATCAAATATATTGAAAAGTATAAGATGATACCTTTTAGTTAAAGACTGAACAGAAAGGAAAAATAGAAGAAAAAAAAACAAAAAACTTTGCACTGGGAAAGGTTGTGTGTCTTTTGCCTGCTACATTGTTTTTCAGGTATATCCTTAATCTTTAGATCTTCTAATTTAGAGAGTTAGTAACACTGTATAGGATATTGCGAGGTGTTTATAGATGCCAACAGGAAACTTGTTATGTAACAATATCACATTACAGCAGAGTTTAGCACCTGCTTATTTGATTTGATGTGAAAAGCACGTTGTTTCTCTGCTACATTAGAAATTGAAATAACTGGTTCATGTGTATAGATTATATATATATATATATATATGATGGTCTGTGCAAATAGTTTTACCTGCTTCAATAAAGGTAGGCTTTCAGTTAGAAATATATTCTAGTTGTTGTAGATATTTGAAGAGAAGTTTCAAAACTGGTAATCATTCACAACCAGTAACATAAATTGTGTTTTGACCGAAGTATTTCCCCTCACCAACCCCCACTATTATATAAGGAGAAGGTGCAGCATTTCATGTATTGTATGTTAACACTGAAGATTCTAAATTGTGAAACTAAGTGTCCAGTTATCTTCTTACCTATGCTGGTTTTGAAGGGAGGTAGTGGGGCAGAGTAGTAATGAAGGGAAGCATAAGAGAAGGCAAGCAGAAAGTAGGAGCAGCTGGCATTCATGGGGGGGATGTTAGTGCTGCGTTTACAAGCTAAATAAGCCAAATCTAATTCTCATATATTTTGACTTAAAAAAACTCTCCAATTCAGTTTAATAAAAACTTTAGCAATTGTATGACCTTGAGTATTTGAATTAAGTCTATATTAAGTCAGAATTGCAGTTTTTTTCTTCTCTATACAAATTGGGAAAATAAATTTAAAACTTTTACATTCATTTAATTTAAAAATCCAGTTATTGCCAATTTTAAAATTGAATTATTTCCTTGTTGTTGGCCAAGAATTGATTTAAATAGAGAATTTTCATATCCTGGATGATGTGAATCACTTAAGTCCAGTCTCACCGGACTGCTTCAAAATATTAAGATATTTTGAGAATGCTCTCATTTTTTTTCCTATTTCAGTCGAGAGGTAAATCCCTAATTTGCTTAATTCTAAAATGGAATCATAATAATGAAGTCATATCTTCATTATTAACTGGAAGATAAGATAAAGGTTATTCTAGGGTTATTCCAGGGCATAAACGTTCATGGAATTGTATGTCACTGGAAAGTTGCCTTCATGCCTTCCGTGTACGGGGAGATAATTACTGCTGCAGTGTGTTCAGTGGCTTTGTAGTGCCTTTCCTGCAAGAAGGGGGAAGAAGGATCTGATACAGAACACCAGTGGACTGGTTATGTGTGGGAAACTAGGTAACTGTTTCATGCCCAAACTGTAACTACAAATAGCTGCAGAGAGAGAGAGCACGCGTGTGAGGAAGTAAAACTTTAAGCATAACTGGATGTCAGGCTTCATAAACTGCCAGTAAGCGGTGGTATCAATCAGCAGGTCAATTTGATGCCCATCTGTAAGAAATAACAGGTTTCCTTTTTAGGATAAGGGGATGAGGCCCTAGGTCGCAAAGAGCAATGATTCATGTGCTTGCTGGTTTCATTTGAGAAGTTGTATGACTTTCAAATATTGTTTACATTATCAGTTTAATAATTCAGTGGAATTATCTTCATCTTTTGGGGCTATGTTATCATAACTAAATTGAGGATGTTACATAAGGTTGCTCTTCAGTTTGCTGCAGACATTCCCTTTGTCATTGGTTTAAGTTTTTTCTTTTTATAATTTAGATTTACTTTTATTTGGTACACTAATAAATGTTAGCTACAGTCCTGATCATTTTATTATTCATAGTCTTGATAATATTATAGTTTATTGTGACTAATACATAATGATTCACTGCAGATGATGAAATGTCATTAGAGATTGGATTGTAAATTTTTACTACTATAAAATATGTAAATTAAAATATGGAAGTGTCTGAATTATTTTAAGTCATGTCATTGTGAAACCTTTTTCTTGAACTGAATAATGCCTGCCTATTGGGTAGATGCCAGTCCCGGTAGGCAGATATTATATCATATAGCCCTCATAAAGTCCAGAACTTCAAATGAAGGGTGGGGAGGGGGGGAGGGGGCAAGTGAATCAATAACCCTCTTTCTTCGACAGCCAAGGCATGTTTGACTTCTATAATTATTGTTTGTGTTAAATATAAATTTAGTAAGTTGTAAATATCCAAGGGAGTTTATTCTGTTCTTCCCTGATCTGGATCCCCTCC